CTATTTTTAAGGGAAAGCTTGAATAAAAGATCCTCAAGTATGTGTTCAGAAAGCAATTAAATTTAGAATCAATATTATTGCTGTCAAATACATTGTCCCATGATTCATTGCTTAATTTTGTGACAAAATCTGCCATCGTATGCTTGTTGATTTTCCTTACTGTTTGATATTGTTCATTACTGGACTGAAGGTCAATATTATTTATTTCTATGAGTTGAGCATCATGATCGGATAAGCCATGAGTTGCTCTTGAGTTTTTATTTTATGGCTTATACCTCTATATTTTATACTCATTTTCATATTTAATTTTAATTATAATTTTTTATCTTTTTAATGCCAAATTTTAAGGCAAGTTTTAAACTATATGTGAACTACATTTAAAATTAAGTGTATTTGTTAGCATAAAATTCATACAAACACAATATGAATCATATCGGTTAATAACGCAATTCAAGAACTAGTACCCGAATTATTGTACGTCTAAAGATGACCCAAGAAAAGGGTCGAAACATACAAGGTCACTGCTAACAGCTAATGAAACAAATGTTGATACATTAATGTCTATTTGTATCTTTCTGAAATATTGTTGTGTACACTGTATCATTCGTAACCAAAGTTGTAGGAGCTGATTTCGAGAAAACTGACATTTGGGGGGGGGGCACTTTAAAGGCCCAAATTTTAGAGCTGGAATATTCAGATTCAGTGGGTAACGACCTAGTATGGATAAACTCTTGTGCATTGATTAGGAGCAAAATCCGTCGCACAGTTTAAGTCGTAGCGAGGAGTATATCCGTAAATACAGAGAGACAGATGCCATGCTAAAAATTCAATACAATTTTTTCAGGCTATTAGCTACGTCAGTTGCTTAAAAATTATCGACGTTTCAGGGGACAAATTCCGTCCCCATCTCAAACATCCTAATTGCGGGGGAGGGGGAGGGAGGCTGAAAAATGGGCGAACTCATAACTCGAGGTAAATTGTTTTCCACGATCGCAGTACTTTCTCAACTATACTGTGTATATAGGCAATTAAAAAGTGAAACATTAAATCCTATTTATGTAGGCTGTGCTAGGATAGGTGGAGCGAGATTTCTGAATACTCACGATCACCTTTCTTTTAGTCAGCCTGGAAATCTGCTTCATGTTACTGCAGTGATTGATTTCATTTATTTTGTTTGAAATTAAGCACAATATAATTCTTTTGCCCTAAACTGATTCCAAGGGCTCGACTTGCCCCGTCTATATTCTCTAAAACAAATCCTTACGAAGCCAGTCAAGAGGGGCCAAGTAGCTGCCAACATCTGAAGCGGAAGCAACATATCCTCAGATTAGTTCCAGGAAATGCGTCGTTGTATCCTTCCGCACTGTCGCTGATCATTCCAAGTATTTAATTAATGTTATTGCTTCTTTATTCCAGAATTCATTTGTATTTATTCACCGGGATTTCGTGGATGTCAATATTATATTTCGGTTCGGATAAAATTTATTGTGAATATTTTTGTATCGTGTTGTGAAAAAAGTGGCGCTGGGGCAGGTTTTCTCCGAGTACTCCGGTTTCCCCTGCCAATCTTCATTCCACCAATTGCTCCACAATCACCCTCACCTATCATCTGGGGCTGGTACAATAGGCCAGAAGTGGCCGCAGTACAAGGGACTTAGTCTGTAGCCGTACCACTGACACCGCCAGCTTTATTTGTAATCAATATTTCTTTTTAGAGTAATTATACACAAGATGTAGCAAGGAACACTCAAGGGTGACTTAGCCCGATTCTTGGTTTCAAGAATAGGGCCTGCTTCACTGCTACAAAGACCAGACAGGAAGCACCCCGCAGAGTTTTCCTGGAAATTCAGTTAGAAAGTTG